ACTAACACCAAAATACGGATATATGTTGCAGCGGTTCTACTTCTAACAATATTACTTTATGGAAGCGAAGTCTGGAACACTACTTCAAAGCAACTACATCGCTTCGAAGTTTTCCATCAAAACTGTTTGAGGAGAATCCTTCGAATTAAGTGGTTCCACCGGACGAGCAATGTTCAAGTGTTGGAGCGGGCAAGAATAAACCCGGTTATAACCTACATCAGTGCCAACCGTCTTCGCTGGTTTGGACATGTTTCTAGAATGCCGGACACCAGGCTACCAAAGTATCTACTTGACTGGATACCTGCTCACGGCCGAAGATCACGTGGGCGGCCAAGAAAGAATTGGCGAACCTGTGTCCTGGAAGACGCAATAACATTTACAGGAGATCCAGACATTGTATTTGATAAGGTCCGAGAGTTGGCAGGAAATCGCAAGCACTGGAGAGAAATGATACGACATAAGCGGCAATTCCTTGGTGCAGGCCACTCGAATGATTGAGGAGACCTTATCAAGTATCAAGTAAGTAAAAATCGAATCGCGTGTTATGACGGGTGATGATTATTGACTCTACACTCGACTATCACGTGATCTACTTAAACACGTGATTCTGTTTATTTCGTTCACAGGAATTTCCTAGACTCCGTGTTCGGACTTTTGCTTATGGCAAGCCTGCTTCCTGAACAACAAAGAAAACCACAAAAAAAACTTAAGCACGTTCTTTAGATGGTCCTGATTGAGGGACTATTCAAAAACCTAACCCTCTGCTCTGACCACAATCCTAACCCTTACCCAGTTATCCAACCCCTATAACTGATGCATATGCTAAACCCTAGGGCCTAGGCCTAACCCTAACGATAAATTAGGCCAACTTCCGTGACCGAAACAGTTTTCGCCGATAACTCGCCAGGGGAGCGTTTTAACCCATGTCATGTGGGGTGATTTGGAATCAGCATTCAAAAATGCATCAAACCAAGTTGGTTTGAACATTAAGAAACATCTCGAAGTTCGAGTGTAATTAAGTGATTAATCGCACTACGCTCGAGTTATGACAACAATGTCAATACAGTTGTGACACAATCACATGTAGCCGCAATTGTTCATTTTTTCTGCAACAAGTGAGCAGCCATGATGAGTCATTCTACGTCATATGTAAATCGTATTGTCAATCTTAGCTTGATTTAATGACGAAGCTGTAAAGGAAATTACTTTTTCCCAAAACCACATTTACTTTCATTCGGAATTTTTTCGATCACTCAGCTTTTCAATACAAAACGGCTCTTTAGTTATTTAGAACTTACCTGGTGACTTCAGGCTTGTTCTGTTTAATAAACAGATAAAAGATGCGGCGGAATGACAGACTGAGCGCCGCCCAGTAATTTAGAACTGGATGTTCACGATCGTATCAGCTATCTTTTACAGAATCATGTCTGATATTGATTTGCCCGAATCGTTTGGCAATAGTTCGTAACTTTTATATTATTTATTTTATAAGCTGAAGCAAGCCGTTTAGTTGCCCGTTATCACACGAATTATTTTTTGGAACTCGGAGAGGGCCCGAATTAAGTTATTTTGTACATAATGTAAACTCGAAGGATGAAATGTTCATTTGTACTTGTAGTCTGCACCCTTTAATCTTTTATGCTGCATAATGCATTCAACATAATATTATAAATATAATACACAGAAGCCAATAATGCAAATATGTCTAATAGACATATTTATTTATTTTGTATATTATACTATTAGCGACGAGAGAAACGCCATTGTCGGACGTGAGGAGAGTAAGGATGATAGCTTGTGTCCGTCGTACGACCATACGTCGTTGTACTATTGTGAACCCAAAATAGACGAGGCAACATAGACAAGACAATATATAAGTGCAGGAAGTCCGGAATCGCACTTTTAGCCGTTTCCCGCACATATTCGCTCTAACAGTCGTTTTCCGAACTTTTTCGCTAACTAGACTGAAAACTGGTTCAAGTTTGGACGAAAACTGGTTCAAGTTTGGCAAAAACTGGACTGAGTTTAGACAACCGGGTCGAGTTCAGATAAAAATTACTAAAGTATGCAAAGATATCCGTGTTATCATGTGTTGTTAGCACGTTACCGAATTCACTGTGATTAGATCTGCCTATTGAAAAATCGTCTGTTTTCACACTAATTGATAATGATTGCTAATCATAAATCGTTTTTTAAACGTCCTGCACCGCAAGTTTGCATCGCCAGTTTGCCAGCTCTTAAAAGGCCGAAAGTTTCCTCCAAACAAGGTGATATCTCCACTTCATTCACAGCCCAGGAGTTTAGTTGAAGTTCGTCCTTGTATGAAAACGGGGAAACCTTTTTTGTAAATCTTGCAATGTTGTAATCGGCCATCATCGCTTAAGTTCGTGATCAAACGATTTTTGGATTCCAAGGTTTGAACATTAATTAACTTGTGTGTTATTTAGGTACACATTTAAATCAACGCCATAGACAGATAGATGTAATTGTACTTTGATGCAATTGTAGTTTCATGTTTAAACATTGACATTTGCCGCACGTTTGCTGCACATTGCGCAATTATTCGCCGCACTCGAGCCGCACTATTCGTCAAATTTGCCGCACACCTAGGCCACACACTGAGCAATTTAAGAGTTTAAGGTAAGTAATACCGCACTTTTTGCAAAATTCTGCCTCACCTATATATAATACTAGAAAGACCGTGGTAACAGGGATGAAACTAGTAGTTTTCTATTTATTTGGCAGTCAGTTTTAATGGCATCAAAAAGTATTCATCCCCACCGAAGATACGGCCGATTTGAATGTAGCTCGCACTGAACACAATGTAATTACCACAAAACCGATCAAAATGTCGCTCGCCAATCTTTGCACGTGCACGTTCACCACCGTTATACTATGGTTACTATGCAACTTTTATTTGCACGTAGGCGGCCGTACATACATTCTACAAACATAATTCTTTGAATTACAAGTAAGACTAGAAAACCCGTGGTCACATGGAGAGATGGAGGAAGGTAATAGTATTCTTTTGTATTCAGTTTTTATCGCATCAAAAAATATCCGCCACAAGTCAAAACCGAAGATACGGCCGATTACAATGTAGCTCGCACTAAACACAACGTAATTGCCATACCACAAAACCGATGAAAATATCGCTCGCAAATGTTTGCACGTGCACGTGCGTGTAATAACCCTCGTTACCATGGTTACTATGTAATCTTTTGCTTTTTACCTAATTTGCACGTGGGCGGTCGTACAGTACATACAGACTAACATAATTCTTTGAATTATAAGTAAGATGTTGCCTCTATTAAGACTTTAAGACGACTGCTGTCTTAATGACGTAAAATATTAATATAGATTTAGGAGTGTTAGGATCACTCGAAAAAATTAGGTTACATTTTGAGGGGATACCCATTCTATTCTTTTTGAAAGTGGTATCAGTATGGCTCTAATCCTCGCGGAATTTATAATAACCATATGGCATACATTTATACAATGTAATACTCACAAAAACGGCATAATGCTCATTAAAACTGCCCTTTGATCAGCAATCAAAATATCAATTAATTCCTATTGTGATGAGCAGCAGGGTTGTCAAGAATAGCCAAACTATACCTACCAAACCTCGAGGGTTCATTGTTTATTTAATTTTTTAAATGTACTTCGCTAGATTTATTTTATTCTTTAATTGAAAGCTATTGAAACCTATTGAAACCTATATTCAATAGCTTCCCAACGGCTTGGGATCGAGCAATATATCGATCCGGAAAGATGTATATAATCTATGTATAATATAAATATTCTATAAACTATATATTATACACAGAAACAGCCTCTTTTATAGATCAATACTATTACTTTTGTGGAATGACTTGCCAGCCTATGTGGCTATGTCCAATAAAAAAAATTCATTTTCAAAACAAAGCTAACCGAATGTCTGTGGTCTTCTGACGTATGTTGGCCTGATTAGAATGCCTATCCGGGAATACATATTTTACCATCTATATTGATATATTACACTATGGTTATTGTTGATATGTTGTGTAAGTCTGTTGAGTAGTATAGTGAGTGGGTATAGTATTAATATCTAAAGTATTTCTTGATAATTTATTAATGATTTCAATTCTATATTTTATGTAGGGTCGGCACCAATGTCATTATGGTTTAACTGCCTTGTCTTGGATCAGCCGAAATAAATTTTACAAATGTTTTATATAAATTTGGATCACTCCATGTTTCATAATTTAAAACCTGTAACTTTTCCGATGATAAATTGTAACTACTCATTCGAGGATTCTGTTGTAAAATTTATAAATTCGATTTTATAATGTTCTTACATGCTCGAAACTCCATTTTAAAATATCGCAATAGGTGGAATATGATCTGAAACGTTTAAAAGTGATGAAGTTATCAAGTAACCTCGTTAGCCAAATTGATTGGGTAATTATGTGATAGCGTGCTGGGAAACCGTAATTGGGCTTTCTGTCATGTACGATTCCAAATATGCGGACCCCAATATGTGTCAACCCAATCATTTGTTACCACGTATTAAATAAACCTTTTATGCTTGATATTTCAGTCATCTGAGTAGCTAGGGCTCCCATTTCAGTTTCAAGGAAAGTGTATTTTAAAAGGCCAAACACAATCCATTACAATTTGAATTGCTCCGATCATTCAAAACATCTAAAAACGTTCATTCGGAAAAAATTAACATTGTTATTATTTTATTTTACATATTCCTCAAATGAGTGACAATAGCATGTTATACCAGAAACATTATTTCAATCGGGCATTCAGTGACTGAGAAAGAAGCCCACACATTATATTTTTACTGACTTTGGCCCCTCCCCTCCCCCATCCCCCTGTATAATGTATATATATATATATGTACATTATATATTCTATAAAGTATTTGCATCTTACTTCGAGAAGTAGTCGGATTCCTAATAGTTGCTACCGTTTTATAGCTTGGGCCTTAATTTTCCGTTTATTTTTAGATGTATAACGATGCAGTCCAATATTGCCAGCAGGACCCTCTTTCTCATCACTTTGTTGCACAGTCAAACAACTTACCAGTTGTCGAAGTAAGTTGTACACCAGAGGACGCGGACGATAAGGCAAAAGATCTCGAGAACAAAAGGGCAGAAGCCATTACTAATTCTAAAATCGGATCGGCTAACCGAAGATTTACATTCGGCAAGCAAGGAAATGTCAACCATAATAAAAGTCCGTTTTCCTTTCATCTAAATTCACTGCTGGAATGTCAGGAAATATTCCAAGACCCAAGTCTAATATGCCTGAATCAGTTGCCTGGTCAGATATTCGATATGATAAAGTTGAAAGATTATGATGGGGTATCTGCGACTTTAGCTGAAAGAGGGTACAAAGTGGAAATACTACCCAAAATAGGCTGCCCTAAGGTCCACTATAACACAATCACGAACATTGCAAATATCAAAAACAAGGAAGGAGACACGGTCCTCATCGCAGCATCTAAAACCAACTTCAGGATGGTAGAAATTGTCTTGAAATACGGAGCTGATCCAAACGCAACAAACAAGAAGGGTGATGGTCCTCTCAGTATTGCTGCTGCGCGAGGTGACAGGGACTCTATAGACGCACTCCTTCAAGCAGGAGCTAACCTCAATGCGGCTGTAACCAAACTCATTTCGGATCTTGGTAATAGCACAGATGCTGATGTTCAACAGGCAGAGTCGGGCTTCAGCGTGAAGTCCTTGTCATTTCTTTTGTCCAACGATGTTTATTTGCAGTGCAGGGATCCCTTTACAGCATCTTTCGAAGTGAGCAAGAGTATAGAGGCAATTGTTAAGATCAGAAGCGAGTTTAGAATGGAGTTTGAATTGCTAATCCGAGACGCTGACGTCTTTGCTTACAAAATGTTGGATCAATGTGAAAAGATGTGGGAGACTAAGGAGGTTCTTGATAAGTCACATGGAATACTCAAAAAAGCAATAGATGAGGGGAAGAAGAGGTTTGTCGGCCATCCTTTTAGTCAGCAGATTATTTTAGAAGAATGGTACGGCAACGAAGCATACAAATCAACCTGGGATAAGATAAAAATAGCAGCTAAGTATATACTGAGCCCTTTCCTTCTACCGTGGTATTTGATCAAGTTCTTGGTAGTTGAGAAAGTGCTGAAAATTCCACCAAGATTGTCAAGGGGGGTACAGCATATTCATTTTCTGTTTATCCCATTCATTTGCTTTCTCACTGATATATTGAACTATTTGATCCTGTTGGGACTGCTGATAGCAACATGCCTGTGCCCCAAAGAGTCTCACATCCCTAGCAACACGGAGATAGCTCTATGGTTCTGCACAATATCCAGACTCTTGATAGAAATTGATCAGTTGTTGGAGCAAGAGCTCTGGCGATACTTGGCAAACATGTGGAACATCACTGAACTCTTCTCCAGTGTCATGATCTCGGCAGCAGCTGTCTATAGAATAATAGTGTACTTTACATACAAAGACAAGCCCGATGACGATTTGATTAACCTGAATAATCTACATAAGGACATTCTAAAGATTACTTATATGTACGCCTTAACTGAGTTTATTATGATCCTGCGGTGGTTAAACTTCCTTGAGTTCTTTCCTGGTTTGGGACCGGTCTTGATTGCTTTAAGAACTCTGATAACTGAGGTGTTCAGATTTGTGCTCATCGTGTTGTTCACTTGTGTCATGGGTACTGCTATAGCCGTCCATTCGGTCGTGAACACTGTAAGATCTCAGAACAAAACCATCACCGACCGTCAGGTAAGAGTTACTTTGATTTGTCTGCTGTATTTGCATATCTCTGTGCTGAGTTAGAGTATAACTATAATGTTTGTTGTTCGTGTTTCATATTAACATTTATCTTATTTTCAGGGGTGGGATGCGAATTCAAACCTTACCAAGGCAGGAGTCAAACCAAAGGAAATTTCATCATTTTTCCAGGACTTCGGGACGTGCATTATAAATGTGATGTGGTCCACATTTGGTATATTTGGAGTAAGTGTTTGGAGTGACAAAAATAACTTGAAAGTTGCTTGATCAATTATTTTGTCTAACAAAATGGTTGCTGCTAACCAACTCTGAAGGGTTCATCCAAACTTAGATTGACAGACACCGTTTTTGTAAATAGAAAACCACATTATATATTTCTATGTATGGAGTCAAATCATCAAGTCAGACATTGGCCTTTTGGTCATCTAAAGTTATTTCAATTTATATATTTTTGAAAAAAAATGTTTATACATATTTATGAACATACATGTATTCATGTAAAATATTCCATATCTTCTCATTTAATTACATCATGTAATGAATGACCTTAACAGGACATAAAAGTAGAAAACGACAGCATGACAACTAACGTGGTCTACGTGATTCTCCTTTTTTACATCATCCTCGCTGTTGTCCTGATGCTGAACATGTTGATAGCTATTCTCAACAACACCTTCGAGAGAATTCAGGGAAACTGTGACATTGAGTGGAAATATGCAAGAAGCCAGCTACTCAAGGTTTGAAACAGAAAGCATTATATACCAATGATAAAGTCTTAGAAAGGATTGGAAGTAACTTATTTGAAATCATTCCTAGACTTTGAGTAAGTTATATTAACAATATTAATCAGGAGTACAGAAACGGACAACCCTTCGTATTTCCCTTGCACATCGTTCTGATACCTGTGACGATCTGGTACCGGTCTGAGATCGAGACTCGTGATACCCTTAGACAACCAACATCATCAGGGAATCTGGAGGGACAAACAGATCGAGACAAACTGTTCTGTACACTCTGTGACCGTTACAGAAGATCAACGGCTACCTCCGAAATGTGTAACAGTAACACGTCTGTAGATTTATACAGCGAAAGGGACGATCGAACATTTGCCAAGGCTATCGCTATTCAGCGACACAACTCCTTCACTGTTGAAGCTAGGAGATCCGTAAGTCAAAAATCAAAGAGACATTGTGTGATCAATCAAAAAAATAATCATGAAAGTGAAAATTTTTTATCAGTCGACCGAAAAAGTTCAAAAAGTCAATCAAGTGAATTTGAAAGCGGTGATATGATTTGGTAATACTGCCAAACATTTCATCACCGCGATCTCATCCTGATTGATTGTAGTTAAAGAACCAGTCCACTTCGCTTGTTGATTATGACTGCTAATACCAATTCGAACTGCTTTAAATACAAACGACTTGTAAATAGCTTTCTCTATTTATTGTCTTTTATTCTTAAATGCGTTAAACTTAAATACGTGGTTTTGCGACTTTTAACTTAATCCTGACAATTGTATATTTTGTGAGATTGACTACGTCTTATATTTTTTTTGTTTATAATTAGAAAAAAGCTATATTGTTATCTTTAAATTTTAAATTTCACTCCAGAAGCTTACTTTTTGTTTATTTTCTGGGGCTACGACCAAAATTCCACAACAAAATCGGAATTTCCACAGAAATTATGATTGCTCGCTTAATAATACTTAGTACTAATAGTTCTCTCTTTATACCAAATTTATAACACATCTGGGGTGGGCAAAAACGATCCATAGTCTAATTCTAATCTGGCTCCCACTCATGGAATCTATAATAGCCAAATAATGCTCATTAAAAACTGCCCTTTGATCAGCAATCAGAATAACAATTAACTCCTATTGTGATGAGCAACAGGGTTGTCAAGAATACCCAGCTTTTACTTTAAAGTTACATGCTGTCTGGTAAAGCTCGTAAGTTCATTGTGTATTTAATTCGTTAAATGTACTTTGCTAGGGTCATTTTTTGCTTTAATTGAGACTTATTCACGTGATTCCCAATGACTTGGTGTTGGGCAATAGATCGGACAGATGTATTTATATATGTATATATATCATATAATATAAATATTCTATACACTATATATTATATACAGAAACAGCTATTTTTTTGTTATTATTTTCTAAACACTGATGATTGCATTAGTAGTAATGCATGAAACTTTACGTTTTTTGTTGTTTCATTTTGTATCCAGCTTCCTCCGGTTTGAGCACCTCTGTCGCTGGATAAATCCAACCAAATGAGATACATATATACACAGTACACACATATTATTTCATAGAATGTTTACATACATATTATAGATAATGTATGTAAACATTCTATAAAGTATAGAATGTATATGTATACATATATATATACAATGTGTAGGAGTACAGCAACAAAATATATATATATATATATATATATTATCTTACTATATATAAAGCGAGACGATATATATATATATATCTGTGCCATTTTACTGACACCACGGCATCAACTTTAACGCGACTTTCCGCAAAAACCGTAAAAGATATACAACTTGAACTTTTTTGGCTGGGTCAAATGCTTTAATGGCCTTCAAATCAGCATGAAAAAATAAAAAATTGGCCAAGGAATAATGATTTTAGAGCCGAAAATGTGGACCCCCAAGTGGTGTCAAAAACGCCAATTAAAGGACCTTTACTGATAGTTGAAATTTGACATATGACGTCATCTAGCGTCATCTAGCGTCATCTAGCGTGAAATATCGCCAGATGATGATAGATGACGCTAGATGACGCTAGATGACGCTAGATGACGCCAATTAGCGACATTGTCGCTAAGTGCACGGCACCTTTCGAATGTCGCTATCTAGCGCTATCTAGCGCTATCTAGCGCTATCTAGCGCTATATGACGCTATATGACGCTATATGACGCTAGATGACGCTAGATGACGCTAGATGACGCTAAGCACGCAGCACTGACGCCAGGCGACAGATAGCGCTATTTTCATAAAATTTCCGCCCTTTTTTTTGCGACATCTAGCTGTATCTAGCGCTATCTAACGCTATATGTCGCAACGACATCTGACGCAGCGCTATCTGGCGCTATCTAGCGCTATCTGGCGCTATCTAGCGGAGACTGTCGGTTTGTGACAGTTTACGCTAGATAGCGCTAGATAGCGCTATCTAGCGCTAGATATCGCGGCGACAGCTAGCGCTAGATAGCGCTATCTAGCGTAAACTGTCACAAACCGACATTCTCCGCTAGATAACGCTTGTTAGCGCTAGATAGCGCTATCTAGCGGAGAATATCGGTTTGTGACAGTCAACGCTAGATAGCGCTAGATAGCGCTATCTAGCGCTAGATATCGCGGCGACAGCTATAGCTATGGCTATAGTTGTTAAACGTTAAATATCTAACGTTGGTTATAAGTTTTATTTTTAACGTTGCAAAACGTTTATTATTTGACGTCAGATCAAGGTTACCTTATTAACTATAAGCAGAGTTTAAAATTCAACTACATTTTAAAGTTGTTTGTAGGTTACATATAAAACGTTGTTAAACGTTAAATATCTAACGTTGGTTATAGGTTTTATTTTTAACGTTCAAAACGTTTATTATTTTACGTTAGATCAAGGTTACCTTATCAACTATATAATAAGCAACGTTCAAAACTCAACTAAATTTTAACGTTGTATGTAGGTTACATATAAAAACTTTGCCGGCTGGTATAGGCTTAGACTAATATTTTGAGAAAAAGCGGCGCGTGATAGTAAATTACGAGTATCACCCGTTAACGAGTGAGATTCGTCCAGTATAACTTGTTTATGCTCTAACCATAGCCCTCTCGCTAGTAGTACGCTTAGACACATGGCTATGTGAAAGAAGATGATGTAAAGATCTAAATGTTAAATTAGCATTTGCAAATTAATAGTATTGAAATCTCGCACAGCAAGTTATTAAAAGAATGTAATGAGAGTCGAGCCGAATTTATTGTTCAGTAATCACATATATCGTACCCACGAGTTTTCAGTTTACGAACTACGCGCAAGTGTGAAGTGCAAGCGCGAAAGCTTTATATTTATTTAGTGCAATTTAGCTACGAAAATACCAAATCCCTTAAAATGCGATGCATTCAGTATTTAGAATTAATATATTATAAATTTATAAGTTATGTCAATCCTCTTACCTGGGGACCCAAGCTATTATGTACATGTTCATAAACATTAAGATTTGGCGAATAAAGATTTGGCGGAATGACAGGCTGAGCGCGGCCTAGTAACAATCCTCGGGATCGGAATTATTTTGGATATATACTTTACAGCTTTGAGCTTCGAGTAATTTATTTGACGATGTTTGTTGTAGCGCGATGCACTGCTGGGCCGCGCCGCGCAGCCAATAATATAATGCTTCTTGCAACCACTAGTGCTTTACTAAACATACTTGGTCAGTACCTTACTGTATGTACGAACTTTTAAAAGGTGTCGAACTGTACAAATTTTAAAAAGCTGTCGAGGAATTTTTACCGAATTTTTTAAAAAAATTTTGTTTTTTAATCAGTAATCACTTCAGTCCGAAAAATTTTTTATTTTTGTCCGGGAGGTTACATTTCAGATTTAAAATATTAACATGCATCCGCACGTCATCGTTTCCCGCCATTTTAACACAAATTTTTGCAATTAGCTTTTTATTATATATTTCGAAAATTTATGAGGCGAATTTTTCCCAAACTAATCCCGAACAGAAAAAACGTGCCGAACTGTACGAATTTTTTACGACTTTTGTACGAACTGACCAACTATGTTAGTGTTACTAAATTGGCGATATGCACCATGACTGGGCCTCGCCGAGCTGTGAACATGAACAGTGAAGGATTGACATTACTGTGAGTGTGTCGCGCCGCGCATCCAAAAATGCTTCTCGGTATTCAATAATGCTTTTCGGCGAAATGCACCACTGAGCTGTGAAAGATTGGCATCATGAATCAACGATGTTAGTTACTATTTCGACGAAATTTATACAAGTTACTAACTTAGTAACTTGTATAAATTTCGTCGAAATAGTACGTGCCGCTATCTTCCGATCCCGAAATGTTAAGGGTCGACGGTCGTTTACATATTAGTATTACGTAATCAGCTGAGGAGGTTGGGGTATTCAAATGATTATTGATTACGCTAGTGTAATATTGACATAAATATAATAGCTATGGTAAAACTGATTACGGGGTATGTGAACGACCCCTCATTGTTAGTAATCAGTTCCATACATAGCTATTAAGCTATTTATTAGTATTATGTCACAATCACACTAGCGAGCGTAATAATTTGGAAAACCCCAGCCGGCGGCATCAGGCCCTTTATATAATTATAATATGTAAACGACCCCTTGATTAAGTGATATTTAATATTTTGTTCCACTCAGCCGAATATTTGATAAATCGAGTGTAATAGTTGGGTGACTTCGACGAGCCGCGCAAGCTTATAGTTATATCATTTGCATTCTCACTTAAATTATAATTAATTTTCATACACAGTAAAAATTAATTTTCATATAAAATAAAAATAACAAAAAAGATTGGGTGGGAAAAGACAGGCTGCGCTTACGGTCCCAGTAAAACACACACACACACACACACACACACACACACACACACACACACACACACACACACACACACACACACACACACACACACACACACACACACACACACACACACACACACACACACACACACACACACACACACACACACACACACACACACACACACACACACACACACACACACACACACACACACACACACACACACACACACACACACACACACACACACACACACACACACACACACAGAGTTAGGATTACTGTTACTGTGATAGGATATGATATCTTGTGCTATATGTAGCGACGACATCTGACGCAGCGACATATAGCGCTAGATAGCGCTAAATAGCCTGGACTGTCACGACCCAAAATTCTTCGCTATTTAGCGCTATCTAACGCTATTTAGCGCTATCTAACGCTATTTAGCGCTATCTAACGCTATCTAGCGCTATATGTCGCAACGACATCTGACGCTATATAGCGCTATCTGGCGCTATATAGCGCTAGATAGCGTGAACTGTCGTAAACTGACTTATCCCGCTATCCAGCGCTTGATGTCGCCTGCGTCAGATGTCGTCGCGACAGATGTCGTCAGATGACGTCAGATATCGCTAGATGGCGTCAGATAGCGTCAGATGTCGCGGCAACATATGACGCTAGATGACGCTAGATGTCGTCCCTAGAATTTTTATGAAAATAGCGCTATCTGTCGCCTGGCGTCAGTGCTGCGTGCTTAGCGTCATCTAGCGTCATCTAGCGTCATCTAGCGTCATATAGCGTCATATAGCGTCATATAGCGCTAGATAGCGCTAGATAGCGCTAGATAGCGCTAGATAGCGACATTCGAAAGGTGCCGTGCACTTAGCGACAATGTCGCTAATTGGCGTCATCTAGCGTCATCTAGCGTCATCTAGCGTCATCTATCATCATCTGGCGATATTTCACGCTAGATGACGCTAGATGACGCTAGATGACGTCATATGTCGAATTTCAAC